GCCTTCAGCTCAGGTCATGATCCTGGGGTCCTGGGATCGAGCCCCAGGTCAGGCTCCCTGCTCAGTGGGGAGTCTTTTTTTCCCCTCTGCCCCTCCCCCTGCTCGTGTTCTCTTTCTCTCTCTCTCCCAAATAAATAAAAGAAATCTTAAGAAAAAATAAATGTTACTTTGGGGAGAAACTGTATTTTTTTTCCTAGGTCTACCATAACAAACTACCACAAATGTGGTGGCTCAAAAGAACAAAATCTTATTTACTAACAGTGCTGGAGGCCAGGAGTATGAAATCAAGGTGTCAGCAGGGCAGTGCTCCCTCTGAATGCTCCAGGGAAGGATCCTTCCCCGCCTCCTCCAGCTTCTGGTGTTTCTAGGCATTCCTTGGCTTGTGGCTGCATCACTCTAAACTCTACCTCCAGCAAGAATGTGTCACAGGGCCTCCTCATCTGTGTGTCTCTTAAAAGGACACTTGTCATTTATGATTTATGACCCACCTGGATAATCCAGGATGATCTTATGTTGCTATTCTTAACTTAATTACATTTGCAAAGGCTCTTTGTCAGATAAGATCACATTCACAGTTTCCATGGATTAAGATGTGGACTTATCTTTTGGGGACCCATCGGTTTACCCACTATAGGAGCTCTAATGTCTTTGAAGCATTACCATGTAAATGTTTTCATAGTAGAAATCTCAACACTTCATTTAGAGTCACAAGTGGATCTGAATTTGAATCGAAACATAATACAGAAACAGAACAAGAAGCAGTTTCAGGGTGTGCCAGAAAATGAAAATCCCATGGGTTAAGATAAAGCTTTTGGACATACACACTATTGGGATATTTTTCCTTCATAGGAGTGTTGGACTTGGGTCTCAAAATGAAGACAAAACTATCAGTGCTATGGTAGTGAAGACTCCTTCCCATCTCCAAAGAGCAGAGAGTCTGGAAGGGGCATCTGTGGGTGTTTTCATCATTCTGTCGCAGAATGTTACAGAAATGTAACCTGGCACAGGGAAATCTGGTGCAGGAGAAATCTGCTCTTCCCCAACAGCACCTCTCTCAGCACAACACACACCGTGGTCTCTGGTGTAACCTTTCTCTGGGTCCTACAGCCTGACATAGAAATTTGCTAGGTTAAGAGAAGAGGACCTGAACCATGCATTGGCTTAAGGAGTAGAAAGAATCTCTACATTCCTGGTAGGAAATGCTTGCTGAATATAAATATAAAGTAGCAAATATTCTTGTTAAAACAATCAGAAGGGAGGACAAATTCAAGAATATTTATACTAAAATGTTATGTGTTATCCTATGACAGGACATCCTTCAGATAAGAAATCAATAATGCTGTCTAAATTTGGACGTGTTGGATGAGTAGACTTGTGTGCATTTGACAATGGGCAAAGTATAATCTGGGCAAAGGGGCCAGCATCTGCAAAGGCACAGATTTAAGAAAGAGTTCAGTGTGCATAAATGGTTAGACTTTTTAAATGGCTGATGTGCATCTGGAGTACATAGTGAAAAAGTGGGGGAAGGCAAAATTAGAAAATAACTAGAGGGAGTCTCTGGGTGGCTCAGTCATTTAAGTGGCTTCTTTCGGCTCAGGTCATGATCCCAGAGTCCTGGGATCGAGCACACACCACCCTGCCTGGTTGGGCTTTCTCTCACTCTCTCCCTCTCTCTCTCTCTCTCAAATAAATAAATCTTTTAAAAAATAAATTTTAAAAGAAGATAACTTAGGGGAAAACCGTAAATGGCCTCCTATCTTTTAATATAGAATTGATCTTTACAACTTCTAATGGTTCCTCATTACCCAAAGATTAGCAAGAAGTGACCTAATCAAATATATATCTTATAATAATTCTAGTGGCGGCTTAAAAGAAGTAGAGACTAGAGGCAACAGATGATTAAGAGGCCATAGCAATCACCCAAGTGAGAGGTGCTGAATGCCTGAATTAGGACAGTAGCAGGGTTATAGAAATAAGGAAATTGCTCTGTGTGCTACTTGAGAGGTCAAATTGACATGACCTTGAAAATTACTGGATACGTATTGTGCTTCATTAGCACTCTGGTACCTATCTGTCATAAAGAATGTGTTTATTCCATTGGCTTTTTGGTAAGATGCCCCCAATGTCCATGCTTCCTGAATCCCATGCTCTGCTTCCACGGTGAATCTGGGCAAGCTTTGTGACTCACTTTTGAGTCACAGCTGAACCCGGCGTTCCAGGCATTCTTTAAGGCTCCAGACATGTCAGTGAGCAATTTGGGGTATTCCAGTCCAGTCGAGCCCCAGATGTCACATGGAGCAGAAGTAGTATGAGATAGTAAGATGGAAGCTGTTTAAAACCATTGAGTTTTGGGGTGGTTTGTTATGCAGCAAACTACAGGGGCACCAAAGTCCTTTGCAGATTCTTGTCGAGGACTTAGGGGAAATTGGCAAGAATTAAAATGTGTTTTTCAACTATCTGATTCCTGATGGTCTCTAATAGCTCAACGTGGAACAGCTGCCTATTTCACCAAACTTCTTTTTGAATATGGTCCTTGTGCTCCTGCTCTGGCACAGAAGATGTGTTCGGGTGTAATGTGAGTTCTGGGTCTCCACAGCACAAGAGCAGGTGGCTGATTGCTCATGTTGGGGCCCTACAACAAACAGGGAGACGTAAGGTTTTCTTGTTCAATGACATTTTTATACTTCACTTGTTCTTCTCATTCCATTTACTAAACCCTAAAAAACAAACAACCCCCCCAAAACTGTGGGGCTATTTACAAGAGCATGCCAGTATTTCTGTGAATAATCAAAATTTAACAGACTATTTTCAATTTCAGAGCAATTTTAGAACCCAGAGACTGAGAATTTTGGTTCATATTTCCTTGGTTACACCTGACTTTTGTAAAGATATGGATATTTTTTGTAAGGACTCTGCATTCCAGATTTACATTTTCCCCCATACTTATAACAGTAGATTTTCCAAATTACGTGCCACTGTATCCAGGAATTGACCACGTGTGTGGAAAGAGTTTTCTCGCCTCACATCCAAAGACAAGCAAGGGGCCCAAGTAAGTTGGAGTCAGGGGCCAGTTTCAAGTGGCATTCTATTTGGAAGCGTAGTGTAAATGTAGCCAATTTCTCTATATTCTATGACACAGAAAAGGCTGTGAAGTCTTGTGTTGCAGCAGTGCACAAATGAACCAAACTCTGTCCTTGACGACTTTCTGTGCCTTTTGTTTCTACCAATTCAGTTAGCTAAAACCACAGGATCATTACTGAAAATATGAGAAATTCCTACCATTGATTTTTATGCCAATAATGATGGAGATCTAGTTTGGGAAGCTGACCCGCAGCTGGAACAGTGATTGATCTCCTGTGTTGTTTTACCCTACCAACACTAGTGTGCAAAGGACTGTAGGTTTTCCTCACTCAGTGTCGTGCTACACACTTCCCATGCTATTACACGCATGCCAATAACATAAGAGATTCAACTATTCCCAGTCAGATGGTCAAATGGATTTATTACTACCTTGTAAATGATTTTTGGAAAAACAATCTTTCCATATGTATGTCTCTTAAATAAGGGTACAGTCTGAGAGATTTGTATGTATGCAATTCAAAACTGTTTACAGAAGATGTAGTATTTTTGTTACACATGTGATAATGACAGTAATGAGATTTCAAAAAAAAAAATCTATAAAAAGAAATAGAGAGAGAGAAATAGTAGCATAATTTGAGAAGCTGGACCGGAGCTGGATAGGCTGTTATTAATGTGGATGTCAGGAGAAAGCTGACAGTAGATGAAGAGGCCCAGAAACAAGTTAATTCATGTTAACAAAACCCAGAAAGGTTCCAGAATTAGAGGCCTCTAGAGTACCAATGGGGTATTAAACTGGTGGATTGTTTGGAAATCTGTAAAATAAGCAAGCACCAGATATTTTACCCATCTCATGTGCCTGGAAATTACAAATAAAGAACATCTTAGATCATCATAGAGTTCAGGTACTTATCACAATCACAGTGTAAGCTGGAGGATAGACCAAGAGCCCTAGTGAACGTCCCTTGTCAGTGCTCCTTTCAGATTTCACAAGTGATTTTTAAGAACTGGAAATAGCCAGGGGGCCTGGGTGGTTCAGTGGTTAAGCAACCAACTCTTGATCTCAGCTCAGGTCTTGATCTCAGAGTCTGTGAGTTCAAGCCCCCGCATTGGGTTCCATGCTGGGCGTGAAGCCTACTTATAAATAAATAAATAAATAAATAAATAAATAAATAAATAAATAAAATGCAAATAGCCACATATGAGAAGAAATGAAAGCCAAATGTTCACGTAGGGGGAAGGTTGAACTGAACCAAAACCAAAACCCTCTGTGCATTAACAGAGGCAGCATTGCCTGTTCTGGTATGAAACATGCAGATCTCCATGCCAGGAGTGAGAAGAGGGCATATTCACACTCCCCATTCATACATGTGAAGAGATGAAGAGATATGATAGAATGACTAGTTCTTAAGATGTAGCAACAATAAATATCACCCTAGTTTAACCAGATTATTTTAGATAGGGTGGAGTAACCATCTAGTTCATCTGGAATCGGTTATGCCAAAAGAGGAGGCAAGGGATCTAACTTAGTGATATGACTGATATATTGGTGGGAGTTGAGGTTAGTGTTGCTTAGTAACAGTCCAGTTAGGTGAGGGAGCTACAATGACTAGAAGGCTTGTTTATCTATGTCTGCTCTTTCCCCTGATTACTGAAAACACTGTAATTCAGTGAATTTGCCTTTTCCACCTACACATAGCTCTTTAAAAAAAAAAAAGACTTATTTTATTATTTATTTAAGAAAGAGAGACAGGGCAGGAGTGGGAGGGGCAGAGGGAGAGGGAGAGAGAATCTCAAGCAGACTCTGCTCTGAGCACAGAGCTGGACCTGGGTCTCGATCTCATGACCATGAGATCAGGACCTGAGCTGAAACCAAGAGCCAGTGCTTAACCAACCACTCAGGTGCCCCACTCATGCTCTTGTCAACGCTGGTGCCAGAGCAGCACCAGCCATGGGTTTTGATATGGGCTGCAGGTGCCTGAAGAGCACCGTGTCATAGCACAGAGGTATATGACTGCATCTTCAGGCTGGGATCCTTCGATGTACAAGGAGCTATAACCCTCCTGTGTATTAAGAGTGGTTTTTACTCGTCCTTTCTTCTTTTCATCCCCATTTAAAGTAACTGAGAACAGGAACGTGGGGCTTTTTGCAGGTTCCCATCTGTACCACTGTAAAGAGTAAAAACTGCTGGAAGGAAAACGGCAGGTGAAATTGGTGTTCTCTCCTTCCTGAACATGAAGCCATGGAGGATTCTGTTCCACATTCAATACGCTGCCCACTCCTGTTGAGAAAGACAGGGTCAGACATAGAAATTGGTCTCTCTACAGTTTCCATTTTCTTCACACATTCCCAAGTAAAACCTAGGGGTGCCTGACTGCATCTCCCCCCTTCTCCGTCACCACCCACGACTGTTCAGAATGTGTTCAGCAATCCAAGGACTTACCGCCAAGGTGAAGCCACAGGATTAGCAGTGAGGCTACCAAAGGACTCCTCTCCATTAATCCTGTGCAAGGATCTCAGCGGAGGAATGTTCTGCAGCCTAGATCTGTGGAATATTCTGCTTCAGAAAAGAGAATTTTGCATCTTGTTGCCCAGCCAATCAGAGACAAGTTCATATGAATGTCTTGGAACACACCAACCAACTCTGCCCTAGATTTAGTTTCCTGTGGTTCAAACACTGTTTTCTTGATGCCAGCTTCACAAACGTTGAGGAAATCCCCCGTAGGTTTGTAACATAAAGAGAGCTGACAACTTTGCAGAAGGCTGCTTCATCATGGACTGCCATTATCCAGCTGCAGAGAGAGTTGCAGGTGGCATAACAATCTGGGGTACGAAAAGCACTTTGGTTAGAAATCTTTCTACGAATTTTCAAAAAAATTTTTAGAACTTGCAAATCACCCCAAATTGAGGATGTGCATCCTTACTAGGTGCTAAATTACCTTTTTGCTTAATTACATTATTCTAATACAAAAGTCATGCAAGAGATATTATTACTCCCAATGTACAAACAAGGAAACGAAAGTTCAAAGAGATTAAGTAATTAACTCAGGGTCAAACACCTAGTAAATGGCATAATAAGAATCAGAACATATATCTATCTACCTATCTGGAGTCTATGATGTTTGGAATCTGTCATGCCACCTACATTTGTGATGCCCTGTAAATGGTTTAGATGTTAGAGAATATATGTTCTAAAAATAATGGGAATCAGTATTGCGATTATTTTTCCTAATAGCCAAAAATGTGGGAACAATTCAAATGTCCATCAGCTGGTAAATGGATAAGTGAAATGTGGCATATTCATCAAAGGAATACTATTCAGCAATAAAAATGAGTTAAATAAATAAATAAAAATATAAATAAATGAAGTTAAGTACTACTATATGCTTCAACATAGATGAATCTAAAACTATGTTAAGGAAAAGAGCCAGACACAAGAGTGAACATATTGAATCGTTCATTATATTAAATGTTCAGAAGAGGAACCCAGAAAGAGATAAAGGAGATCAGTGTTTGGCTGGGGCCAGGGGTGGAAATAAGGATTCAATGTAATTGGATATGAAGGATCTTTGGGGGCTGATAAAATGTTTAAAATGTTTAAAAATGGACTATTGTAATGGTTTTTCACAAACCACTTATGGTATCGATAAATACAGTATTGTACTGTGAATGTATTTTTTTCTTCCTTATGATTTTCCTGATAACATTTTCTTTTCTCCAGCTTACTTTTGTAATGATACTGTATATAATACATATAAGATGCAAAAATCTAGGTCAATTGACTGTTATCAGTAAGGCTTCTGGTCAACAGCAGGCTATTAGTAGTTTTTTGGTGAGTCAAAATTTAAAAACACGATTTTCAGTTATGTAAGTCTCAGTGTCCCCAACGTTCACCTTGTTCAAGGGTCAACTGTTATGTCATCTTTTGCACATTTATTCAACAAATGTATACTTATTGTACCTCCTCTGGGCTAGGCATTGTTCAGGCAGGGAAGATGCAGTAGTGAGGCGGATAGAAAAGGCCCATGGTGCAGTGGGAAAAGAAAAAAATTAAGTAAACAGACTTTAAAAATAAGATAATTTTAAAGAGTGATGCACACTATAAAGAATATACAATACTGTATTGAAATAGAGAATTACTTTTGGGGTGAGGAAAAGTATCTGCTCTAAATAAGATATAGTGGGAGGGCTCCACTCTGTAACTTACCCAGTGAGGTATTTAACTTCTCTTGCACTCAACTTTCTTTTCTGTAAGTAGCCAGTGTCTTTCTATTGGGCAGTGGCCTGAGCTTGGCATGCATCATCTCATTTACTTCCCATCAACACCCATGGGGTAGGGATGAGGAAACTGAAGCATAAAAATTATTAAGTAATTTGCCTCAGCTCTTAATTAATGAATGGTAGATTTAGAAATCCAACCCAAGTTTATGGTCTCAAGCTACACTGCCTCCTAAAAGGATGATGCAGCCAACCTTGACGTGTTCCAGTAAGAATTAAATGAGAACACACATGCAAATCACCTAGTGTAATAACCTCCCTATCTTAGGCACTCAACCAGATGCATGTAATGTATAAAATATTGAGGGGTTCGAGACACTTCCTAACCTGAATCTGAAACTGCAGGGGAGTTTATTGACAAGATAAAGCTCAATATTTTCTGAGGTGTGTTTGTAATCTAACAGCATATTTCACGTATTATCGTAAGTATCCATGGTCTATCATGTTTCTTACTGTTAATGGGAAGTCAGGGCATTATGATGTCATATTGGGAGGTTGGGTGGCATGTTATAACATGAAAAGAGTAAACCAAGCATGGTTCCTTACAATGCAATTATTATTTTTTTCCATCATTGACTCTTGCTCCTGCTTCTCAGGATACTTCTATACCACAATAAAAGAGCAGTAAACACAATTTCACTTAACAGAGAAAAACCTCCCAACCTCTGCAACAGTGCCAAGCTTTATTTCCATGATATCTTATTACTCTCCAGCCCAAACCATCCCACGTATTGTATTTATCATTTGAAGTCAATCACTTTCACTTCTGGCTAGGCAAAAGATTAAAAACAAGCCAGCCCTCCTGAATCTTCTCTCGCATGATTACCGCAATGGGAAGTTTACTGGCTTTGATTCAGCAATGGTAGCTCCCACTGGGACTAGCCTTCGCCACTATTTAACTTGTCTGTCATCCCTGGAGGGCAGTCACAAAATATTATAGTTTGTCCATGACTTTGTTTACATCCAAGTTTCCTTCACAAATGTTACTCTAGCTGACTTCCAGTAAATTCAGGCTCAATACTAGGTGCATAGACAACAGCTTTGCATAGACTTCTCCACCAGCTATTGCAACTGCTTGAGGTCAGATCCTTGTAACTACTCTCTGATTCTACCCTACTTATGGTGGTTGGTGGTTCTGCATATCTGATTGTACCCTGACACAAAGACTAAAAGGAAAAGGCTAAGGAATCACAGACCTGTACCTCTGAAACAAATAATACATTGTATGTTTAAAGAAGAAGAAGAAGAAGAGAGCAGGAAGGGAAAAATGAAGGGGGGAGGAATCGGAGGGGGAGACGAACCATGAGAGACTATGGACTCTGAGAAACAAACTGAAGGTTCTAGAGGGGAGGGGGGTGGGAGGATGGGTTGGCCTGGTGATGGGTATTAAAGAGGACACGTATTGAATGGAGCACTGGGTGTTATACGCAAACAATGAATCATGGAACACTACATCAAAAACTAATGATGTAATGTATTGTGATTAACATAACATAATAAAAAAATAATTTAAAAAAAAGGAAAAGGCTAAGGAGATAATTTTCATGATGATTCCAGATAACTGGACCCAGATATTTGATGTGAGCATCTTTAAGTGACACTGCCACTTTAAATCATTATGGGGCAAATTTATTCAACTTCAGACAACTTTGCACATGTTCTTTATGATTGATTTTAAGTAAAAAATTCAAGACTGAAAATGAATTAGAAAAAAGTTACTCTGGACACCCGCTTCCAAATGACATAGGAAAAGGTTTAACTTAGAACTAAAGCTGATTCAGACCACAGACTAAGCAACCACGCTCACTAACATTTCTTGTCTGGGATCTGCAGGTATGCATTTCGGCTTGGCTCCTGCAGCAGGGGGCTCTCTCTTATTTCGCTCTGGGATTTTTGTTCAGCTTTATTATCACTTCAAACACTCTGTTCCTGGAGAGCACAGAAATACTTTGCTGAGTCTTCCAGCTGTAAGGTTGAAATGGTGAAGCTGATGGATTTAGTTGCCTTCTGGAAGTTTATAGAACAGCAACCATTCTTTGCATTCTGGTCAAAAGAACTCTGATGAACAAGGAAAGTGATCTCTCCACTGGGAAGCTGTGGATACCGAAAGTATAGTATGTGCTCTGCCTTGTTTCACACAGACAGTTCAGGGTACTGGGTGGCTGCCCCCTCTCTCATGGATGGGGCTGGCTGGACTCGAGTCACTTTCTGGGCCACACTGGATCCTGAAGGGAAAATCAGACAACAGAGCTGATGTAGTAAATAAAATATGGTTAAGAATTAGACTAATTTGGGGTGCCTGGGTGGCCCCATCAGTTAAGCATCTGACTCTTGATTTTAGCTCAGGTCATGATCTCAGGGTCGGGGGACTGAGCCCTGTGTCAGGCTCCGTGCTGAGTGTGGAGCCTGCTTGGGATTCTCCCTTTCCTCTCCCACTGCCCACCCCCCTCACGAAAAAAAAAAAAAAAAAGAAGAATTAGACTAATTTCGGACCCAAAGACAAACCAAACTGAAATCATACTATGTAATATGCTTATTTTTCTCCAGTCTTCCTTCCTTCCTCAAATGCACATGAAGTACCATAGGCCTACATGCAGTCCTTTCATCCTTAACATTTTGACCCTTGTCTGGAACCATGCCCACCAGAGTAGATGGAGGCCACAAATACCCTTGGCAGGTTGGGGAGCAGCATATGGGTTGGCACACATCTGGCACAGATGTGTTTAGCTTTGCTCAAGCTCTGAGTTCCCAGCAGCACATACACAGAGTTCCTGAGTTCTGATGCTGCTCCTCCAAACGGGAAAGAGGGTTTCTTATGTTCATTGACCACATGGTCCATGCACAGACAAGAGTCTGGTTCACCCCAGACCTTTACTTTGTCTATGGGTCTTTCCCTCAAAGTTAAGTAAGGCAGTACCTGAAAAGGGACGTGGAAAAAGCAATCAGCATTAAAGTTTTGAGCTGAGGGGAAATGAAGTTTGGATCAGTTGACATACATTGATAATTTGCAGAGGAAATAATTTTAGGAGCCCATTGGAAATAGAATTTATTATGGGCCATGGACTTTCCTTGTAAATCTACTTACTGGTCGTTAAGTTAACCGACATGTACTTTTCTCCACCCAGAATCTAATGATTGAGAAAAAACACCACCACTACCTCACAGATCTTTGGTTTCTCAGTGAAAGTCAATCCTATCCAAAGCAATGGGTGCATCTCTTTTTCTTCTTCCTTACTGACTTCTAGGGCTCTACTTAACTTTTAGAATAAATAAAGCTACTTCAAAAGCAAATGACAAAAAATCAGTCCTTCTGACTTTCCAAATCCATTCAGTTTATATTTTCATGAAATTATAACAGAAATAAGATATTATTCTTTTGAAATCTGACATTGAGCTTTACTTATTAGACACAGAAAAGGATCAGTATTTTCAATCCTATTGCCTCCACAAGTAGAATTGTACTTATTAGATCATGTGTCCTAGAATTATCCTTATGTCCCATTTTCTCTCTTTGGTCCAGAGAGTTTGGTCTCACTTATTAAATTCTGTGGCTGGGTAATTTTTTTTTTTTTTTTTTGGTAAAATAAAGTCAAGATAAGCACGCTAGATCTCTCGGTGACACAAAGCTCCTACAGATGTGACATCTATATGCTGCACATACTTAGGACATGTCAACACCAGATGATGGCTGAAGTTTTGTATCCTGTTACTGATCATGTGGAAGGTAGCTGTCATTCTTCTATTTGGTTTCATTGTTTTAATGGATGAATTAATCTGAAAGGACCAAAAGGCAAATAATTAGATAAGAAAGTACAGGCAAGGTCTCTAAAACAATGACAGTTCTTTGATTCAAAGGTCAAAGTAATTTATCAGTGAGTGGTGCAGGGAAGAGAGTTTATAATTAGCTCTGTCCCACTGCACCTCGGAATGCTGACAGGTAACTGATGCCTCGGTGGGCAATTATTTGTAACTAAGCAAAGGAGACCATGTGCTGTGGACACAGCAGTCTGGGGAGCAATATGATGGCAAGATTTCCCTCTTGTTGAAACGGGCCTGCTGTATTTCTGATGGTAGAGGTGAAGGTCCCTCAGCGGCATATAGCAGTGGCCTCTGAAATGTGGTTTCCGGCTGGATCAAGTTTGAATGTGCTAGGACACCTACTTGGCCCGTCCCAAATGTTTCATCTTTCCTTGTGATTTTTTTTTTTAAGATTTTATTTATTTATTTGAGAGAGAGAGAATGAGAGATAGAGAGCACGAGAGGGAAGAGGGTCAGAGGGAGAAGCAGACTCCCCGCTGAGCGGGGAGCCGATGCGGGACTCGATTCCGGGACTCCAGGATCATGACCTGAGCCGAAGGCAGTTGCTTAACCAACTGAGCCACCCAGGCGCCCTTTCCTTGTGATTTAATGATTATATCTGGTAAAGGACAAGCCTCAAGCTTAATACCAAAGGAATAATGAAAAGGAAATTTATTACTTAAAATTTCCAAGTTTAATAAATTAATCTGTGATAAGATCTGACAGGCTTATCCGAAACAAATTTACTATGAATCATGGCTGTGATTGCAAATACTCATTCATGTTTTGACTCTTCTCTTGCCTTCAACCTGATTCTAAGGTGAAATGTGCTCACTGATCTTTGGCTTCCCTACATGAGACAAATGAGAAATCATGACCCCTTCTCCTTCCTGCTTACCACCAAACCATGAGAACTGGTAGCTTCACAACAGCAAACATTGCTCAGACAAGTGATATCAAAATATGCTTCTGACATCTGTGACCTCTCCAGATGTGTATTGGAATACCAAATGTAACAGCAGTAAAATCATATTCATTTATGATGTAACGCTATGCTTAATTTATTAGAAGTTATAGAAAGGAAAAAAAAGAAACAAAACAAAACAAAAAACAACAAAAAAAAGAAATTATAGGAAGGGAGAATCCATGAGTCCTCTAAATTCAAATAAATTTGGCCATGTTGTTGCCATGAATGCACACATAATGTTTGGTGCAATTCTACCATTCTTATAGTTATCATGAAAACAAAACCTCTCCCAAAATGCTGTTTTATCAGTGAAAATCTTCCAAATTTTTAATAGTATAAATATTTTTCAAAATGAAAGTATTTCATTCTGTACGTGTTTTGGATATTAACTCATCAGATTTGCAAATATTTACTCCCATTCTGTGAGTTGTGTTTTCATTTTCTTGATGATTTCCTTTGCTGTACAGAAACTTTTTGGTTTGATGTAGTCCCACTTATTTATTTTTGGCTTTTGTTGACTTCGCTTTGGGTATCAAATCCAAAAAGTCACTGCCAAGACTGATGTCAAGGACCTTACCCTCTATGTTTTCCTCAGGAGTTCTATGGTTTCAAGTCTTAACATTCAAGTCTTTAATCCATTTTAAGTAGAATTTTGTTTATGGGGTAAGATATAGGCCCAGTGTCATTCTTTTGCTTGTGACTGTCCACTTTTCCTAGTACCATTTAGTGAGGAGACTTTCCTTCCCCATTGTATGTTCTTGGCTCCTTTATCATAAATAAATTGATCAAATATGTGTGGATTTACTTCAGGGCTCTCTGTTTTGTTCCATTTATATTTGTGTCTGTTTTATGCCAATATCATACTGTTCTGATTACTACAACTTTGTAATATAGTTTGATATTAGGATGTATGATGCCTCCAGCTTTGTTCTTCTTTCTGAAGATTTCTTTGGCTGTTTAGGGTCTTCTGTGGTTCCATACAAGTTTAGGTTTATTCGTTCTATTTCTGTGAAAAATGTCATTGGAATTTTCAGAGATTGTATTGATTCCAAAGATTACTTTGGCTAGTACAAACATATTAACAATGTCAATTTTTCCAATCCATGAGTATGGAATATCTTTTCATTTATTTGTGTGTTCAATTTTTTTCAGTGTCTTATGGTTTTCATTGTACAGGTCTTTCACCTCTTTGGTTAAATTTATTTCTAGACATTTTATTCTTTTTGATGCAATTGTAAATGGGATTCTTTTCTTAATTTCTCTTTCTGATAGTTTGTTATTAGTATATAGAAACACAACTGATTTCTGTAGATTGATTTTGTATCCCACAACTTTACTGAAATCATATATTGGTTCTAACATATACTGACATCTTGTGGCATATCTCTAATTCTGAGCCAATTGATTTTTTTCCCACTTTCCTTTCTTATGTATTGAAAACATGTACAGTGTGACTAGGGAAGGAAGTCTCTGTGTTGTTTATTTTAAGATGAACACACTGTAATTCACAAGCCAACTGAAAGATTTTTCTAGTGGAATTTTTGTTGGCATTTATTTAGCCTATTGGGAACACATCCGGCAAAGTTGTAGGTAATAAGCATTTCGTTCTCCATTCTACGAACTGGTAGAGCTAGAAAAAAATTATTAAATAATTTTCACATGGAAAGGTATAAAAATTATCTAGCAGACACCTTTGCCCCCAGCAATGAGAATAAACAGATATTTAATTTTGCTATGTTTTCTACAGATCTCTCTCTAACATTACAGACAGAACCAAGAGAGTAACCCCTGTTCCTTCTCTTGTTTCTAAAGTAGTAACCACTATTAGGAATATTCCATGCATGTCTTTTAAATTTTGGCCTTATAGATATGTATCATAAAATAATATATTATACTCTGTTTGTATTTTGATATTTCTCATAAATAAGTGTGATGTAGTACATATCATTATGGTACTTTTCACACTCAGCTCTTTTTTTAAAAAGATATATCTAAGAAAATCTGCATAGAACTACTTTTTTGCTTTTAATAGCATTATATTTCCATTGGGTGAATACTCCACTATTTGTCCATTCCGTTACTGATTGATTATTCTTATGTTAAAACAGCACTGCAGTGAGTACCCTGTAGATGTCTCCTTGCTCAAATATTTGAATTTCTTTACTGTAGATATCAGGAATTGGAACTGCTGGGTTTTTTAGATATGTATATCTTCTTTATTAGGTTAGGCAAATTGTTCTCCTAAGTGTTTGAATAAATTGCTCTCTGTGTGGTTTTCTTCCAACTGAACAGGTCTAATAGTCCTCATCTCCCTGTATTCTTGTCAGCATACTTTTATCAGACTTTTAATTCTTTGCTGACCTGGTAGAAATGAAATAGTAATTTCTTTTAATATAATTTCCTCTGACTAGTATAGAAGTTGATGTTTTTTATATGTTCACTGGCCATGCTTAGTTCCTCTCCTTTAGAGTGTCTTTAATATTCTTATCTATTTTATATTGGATGTTTGCCTTATTTATTTGTAGGAGTTCCCTATGTAACCATAATTCCTATATTTTCTTGGTTATATGGTTTACAAATACATCCTTCATCTCATTTTTAAATTTGTAGTGAGGTTCTCATGCAGGCTAAAATTCCCCTTCTATTACTAATGCTTTAGGAATTTTTATTTCTAATTATCAAATTACTTCAATGACTCTAGATCTATTTAGTTTTTCTATTTCTTCTTGAGTTATTTTTGATAATTTATTTTGTCTATTAAGTTGTTCCTTTTTCTCAGAGTTTTAAAACTTACTGGCTCAGCATAACTTTTTCTTTTTTTTTTTCAGGGTTTTTTTTGTATTTTTTTCTTTAAATTTTTTATTGTTATGTTAATCACCATACATTACATCATTAGTTTTTGATGTAGTGTTGCATGAGTGTTGTTCGTGCATAACACCCAGTGCTCCACGCAGAATGTGCCCTCTTTAATACCCATCACCAGGCTAACCCATCCCCCCGCCCAGAACCCTCAGTTTGTTTTTCAGAGTCCTTCGTCTCTCATGGTTCGTCTCCCCCTCCGATTTACTCCCCCT